ATGTAAATGTAATCAAGGCATTTCAGAAAAAAAACTATACTTGCAATTTGTTTATTTTGTACACTTGTTTGTACTGCACAATAAATTTATCTCTACGCAAATAACATCGCTTGTAAAGATATGGTGAAGTGCTAGAAGGTTATATCGGCATGGCCTCTTACTGTCACACGCACACTAATCGAACAGGTTGGCTGTGAAGATGTTTAATTTTATACTTTTTTATTTTAAAAGGAGTGCGTGTTCTTCAACGTGGAGGGATTGTGGCAAGGATCGCCAACTATCATTTTGCTCTGCACCTCAACCCCGTACAAGAAACAAACGACTTCATATATATATATATATATATATATATATATATATATATATATTGATTACATAACAGAGAAATACAAAATTACCTTATGAGTATAGACTATTTCAACTAACGTCGAATGCGTTACCCTTATTCAACTCAAAATCTTTTTTGAGTTGAATAAGCCTAATGCATTCGATCTTACTTGAAATAGTTCTTTCTTATGAGGTAATTTTGGATTTCTCTGTTACGTAATTTATATGTTCTCGTTATAATAAATACATTTAGCTCATTTTCTTCTCAGTATTAACATTTTATATTATTAGGATCCACTTGGATTATATACTAAAGGATTTATTACCTGTATATTATATATATATATATATATATATATATATATATATATATATATATATATATATATATATATATATATATATATATATATATATATATATATATATATATATATATATATATATATATATATATATATATATATATTGAATTTGGCAATTAATTTACAACATTCCCGTCATGCTATATCACGGTTCCCTATAGGATACTGGTTCGATTCCTGTCGGAGGACGCATATTTTCTATGACAATTTCTCGGACATTCAGACCCGTAACTGTTGTTAATACTGCTTATTATAAACAGAACATTTGCTCAAATATTTGTATCTATAAAAAAGAATTTATAAACATGAAAATGTCTTAAAATATATAGATTATTGCGACGAAAGGATTGAATGATCTTTAAAAGAGGGATCATATTTTATTTATAAAAAGGATACAAAAGCATTGCAATGATTAAAATTGAAAGGTTCTTAGTGAAATTTATCAATAAAATATGATCCCTTTTTAAAGATCTTTCTATCCTGGTGTAGCAGTAATAATCTGTTCATATATATATATATATATATATATATATATATATATAGTTGTGCGCTAGTGCGTGGCTATGTGTCCACAAATGTTCTTGGTATTTCTGACCTGTTGTCATATTTACCAATCTATATGTAGTTATAAGTGCAAATGTATTGAGAAACGCTAAATGTGATTCTTTAGGTATGATCCTTCGCCCTGTTTTGGTTTTCAATTCTTAAAAGCCTCATTAAAAATGCACTTATCTAGTCGTCCACCCTTCAAGGCAGATTTCGAACGATGAATTGAAGGAATTAATGACTTGCATTAATGCCTAATTTCATAAATACGAGCACAACAACTACTTTCCTGGTCTTTCCGCTTATTTACCAAGGGGCAGGTTCTCTCAAATAGAGCTCTTCGCTCTGAATTACAATGGAATAACATTATTTGCCAAAATCTTTTAGGAGTGCACGTTATTGCTTACATTAGGGAAGATGAAGCAAAAGCATGCGACCAGATAATAATATAAATGCAGTAAGAATACAAATAATAAAAAGTACTTAATAAAACGGAAAAACAAAACATAAATGAAGATAAGACGGACATCCAGGGCAAAAATACGCCAAAATAAATATTTAGGTTCTATCGAATCTATCCCATTTTTTCGATATAATTGATTTTCTAATGATTCAATAAAACCAGTTATTTTCTCATGGGTTATTATGATTTAGATAATGTCTTTGGTACGAACTATTTTCTTTTATTTCTGTTCGACTCATATCTCGAGGGATAAATCTATCAAACAAGCAGTGATTCTTCGTTATTGAAGATTTGATTGAAGAAATAAGCAAAAGAACAAAACAAAACAGGTCATCTCACTCATAAACCTTCAATGGAATATTGCTTTTTGCTTCAATGTTAGTGTAGAATGAGATAATGCCTTTCCAGATCTCTCAACTATTTGTTTTACCTACTCTCTAAAGTCATATAGTCTTCTAAAGGGTGTTCCAATAACTTGGACCGATTTTAAATGGGAATTAAGTTTAAGCGTCTAATGATATTTTTTTCTTTTTCTTTCAGAAACTTACCCTTTTCGCAATTTCAACAATGGAAAGATTAACAATCAAACAAGGTGTTTAAACTTAACGAAGCCTATTACAAAAATGGACCTTCAAACAGAAATGCATTTCGCGCAATTCGCGATTATTTTAGTCAATGTAATCGACCAACCGAGAGAGCCATTGTAAAACGATGTATCGTTGCTGTGGAGAGGTTCAATTCCTGCGCACGATGTCGAATAGAGGGGTCTGGATTTTCGGCCACATTCTCGTGCATTGCAGCAATGTTTTCAGCTGAACGGCGTAAACGATCATGCAGTGGTGTTTTCACATTTGTTACCCACCCAGTTTGTTTAAATTTATGAACATTTTTTTTTCCATTTGCTCTCTTGAAACTTTAACACGTTGTTTGATTGTTAATCTTTCCATGGTTGAAATTGCCAAAGACTTAAGTTGTTAAATCTGAAAGAAAAAGGGAAAAATGATCATTAGAAACTTAAACTTTATTCGCATTTAAGATCGATCCAAGGTAGTGGAACAGCCTTTATTATACTCGATAAAATAACCAAATTAGAGACAGTTTTAGTAAACTGCATTTAAGTTACAATTTCATCTTTCTTTTTAAAAGGTTAATTTCTCCTAACAGGTGAAATTACTTTGGCCCATACGATAAATATGATGAACCCTCCAGTCGTTTTCGACTCATGAGGGTCAATTTTCAAGTGTTTACCACCCATTTATGTATGATCATTACATGACATCAAACCGTATTCGTTTATCAAAATAACCCACATTTATTGCAAATCTATAGAAGGTGTCTTGAATCATTATTCATGCAACTATGACTCAATTCACTCCAGGGCACTGTTCCAGAATCCATGTAATGAGCAGGGTTGGATTGTGTTCAGTGCTTGCGAATGGTTGGGCTACATTCCATTTTACCTTATGCCATCTTTGAGCCTCTCTTTTTGTATCTGAAATATTCTACCATTACGCTGACCCTCACGAAGCCGACAGCACTTTGGAATTTTTGGAAGTATATGATCATGCTTTCTTTTAATATGTCCTACCCATCTTAATTGAAATTGTATCAGCATGCCTTCAAAGCATTGCGTCACACGCGTAACAAACAATTCTATATATACACTCATGCTACGTAGATAACTTTAGAAAAAAACGAGTCCAACTAGTTGTTATGCTTTCTGCGTGAGGCTATGACTTTGACAGATGAAATAATTTTTATATAACCCATATACGGTTAACCGAAATTAATTATTTCAGGCTTAGTATTCGTAAATTCTTGACTTTCAGTGTTTTCCAAATATATCGGCAGCCTGAGATTTTCTTTTATGATTTTGTAATCTAGCGAGAAACTTCAATCTGTTTACTTCCTAAATATAAAATGTTATAAAGTTGGATATGGATAAAAAGTCCTCTGTCGTCTGCTTAATTCATGTTAACCAAGCCTTCTTATTTTTGTTGCTTTGGTTGATAGTGTGCTTCTGCTTTCTTTACATTTATCATAAAACTTTATTTCAAAAGAGAAGCAATCTACAAAATTTTGGCGCTCCCCGAAAAGACGCGTCAACTGCTTCATTATCAGTGAGGGTTCACCCCAGGAAAATGTTAGTCTTATTGGGTGTTTTGCCTTTGAATCTTTTCGCGATTGAAAATGCCTCCAGTAATTCTGGATTCAAACTATGCATCCACATTGAAATATTTGAACGTGGGCTCTCTCATGACAATGTGTTATAGTGCACCATGGGAAAGATTGGTTTTGTTCCAAATTGTAATGATGAGAATATTGTCAATATATTATATGGTATTCCTTTCAATTAATATCTATCTATAAACGGCAAGATGTGTGTGTGTGTGTGTGTGTGTGTGTGTGTGTGTGTGTGTGTGTGTGTGTGTGTGTGTGTTTAACGAATGCACGGCCGAAATTTTCGACGGATTTGCACCAAAATTTGCATGCACATTCTTCAAGTTAGCGGCAAGGCCAAGATCGACTTTGCATTTACCAACTCCCATCGATAGTGGAAATAATTGATTTTTCTTGCTTCTACGGCAGTTTTCATGTAGTTTGCGGTCATTTTGTACTGCCCCGATTGAGATCCAATAGCTGGCTGCCACGAATAGGCAGGAAGATTCTATTGGCCAGCGTGAGAGCCAACAGCTGACTGACACGAATGTTAACTAGCATGCTAGCATGCAAAAAAAATCGATAGCTGCATTCGTCACAAGTGGGAAATATTTAAATCTGCATGGCACTTTACTCCAATTGGCTCATTCGCTTGCTTAAACTCAACGTTGATTCTGATTCAGCAGAACTGGTTTGGGTGTGAAAAAGTATTTGTTGTTAACATTCTTTTTTCATTCGTTTTTTCCAGTTACAAGTCCTTTCTTAAAGCTGATCGTTTTGTGTTCATTTTGTTTAGTTCTTTTTTCCGTAACAGATTTAATGTTTAGTATAGAGCTTAGACAAAATTTGCAGTGTAAGATAGGCAAGAAGTAAGGCATGTAGCAACATCAGCACGGCAAGGGCACTCCTTTAAAGGCAAGGAAGGGCAAAAATATTTTAAGTCAAGTGATAGCGATTGCTGTATGAGTCGTACAATCAAGCACGAGCAACGCCGGGCCATGCTGCTAGTACATACTATAGCGGACTCGTCTTTACTGTGTCAAATGCCTTAGTAAAATTATTCAAAACAACATGCAATTTCCTTGCCACTTGCCTCGTACATTATATCCTATCAACAGTTCCCTGCCTGATTAATAAGTTGGAACACCGACTCCCGTACGTTCACCGGAGTTAAGCAACGTCGATCCTGGTTAGTACATAGATGGGTGACCTCTTGGGATACCCCATGCTGTAAGTTTGGATGTATGGATGGTGTAATGGATAATGGCTCAGAAGTGTTAATCGGAGACGTTAGTTCCAATTTCAGTTGGGTTGGATATTTCACTTACGCGCAAACACCTTTGCGAAGTGTATTAAACCACCTCTTCTGCCCCATCTATGGTTTAATTATTAAGTCTTTTACCTCTAAACCATTATCAACTAAAAAAAAAAATCAGTAAAATTGCGTACAAATTATTTAGATTTTGGTATTACGTAATCCAAAGAGGAGTTGATATGCAGCTTAACAAAAACAACAAACCTATTAACTGTCTTAGGAAAAGCTATTCTGAGATTCGATGTAGATTTTGTTTATTGGATGAATTCATCCATTAAAGAAAATTTACATCGAAAATCAGAATGGCTTCCAACACTTACTTCCTCCTCTTACACATATACATATAACAACTTAATTCAGTAACTCTCTAACTTCAGTGGCCCTTGGGCTTGATATTAGGTGAAAATTTAGAAAAAAAATATAGAATGTTACCCACAAATTTGTAGATCTGCTGATAATACTTCCTTACCAGTTGTCTGACATTATATCATTTACCTTATCCTTGAATGTTTTGAGTTCACGTGTCCAGGACATTGTGAGAAGTGATCCAATGATGTCACTCTCGACATCGAAAGTTAAGAACACATTATACTGTAAGCTTGGATATGCGGGTGGTGTAATTCATAAAGTCTTGGAATAAGAAACCGGTGAACAGAGTTCGAATTGCGAAATGTATAAATATACCTCATCCCCACACAGCTATGGGTTAAATAGTAGGATTTTTATTAGAAAATCACTATTATCTCTTACAATTCAAGGAATGTCTCGGTTTTAAATAACCTTAAAATGATTGATAAGTTGTAAAACACAAATCAATCAACCAACCAATCCAGCGAACAAGAATTTCATTATTGCCTCTCAGCAATGTATTTTCGTCAGCTTTCAAGTCATGGGATGCTCAGAGTTGCTAAGAAACATGAACGAGTTTTATGCCAATTTACTATGCTTTTATTTTGGGAGGTTTCAAGGGGTTATGTCCTGGATTTCTTGTTTTATTTTGTCAATGGTTGATTGCCGTTCAACTGTTCTGTTTAACCATCACGATTATTTCCTTCATACCAATGATCTCTGCACTGATACTTTGCTTCCTATAACTGTTTGCCTTTTTAGTGACATTGTTTTATCAGCAGCCCATGAAAGCTTTTTTTTCTCTTACCAGAGATTCTATTTCAAAATTCTTTTCATCGAACCAATCTTGATGCTTTAGTATTGGCAGGCGAATCACTGAGAGTGGGTAATTTTTGTTCCTTAAATTTATTCTTAGATTCCTAATGTCGTCAGAATTTTTAATATCCTTTGATTTGTACTGGAAACCACAGTTTTCCTATTGTCAGCATTAGTTCATCTGACATAACGTTGTTCAATTTTTTATCATTATGCAAACGATATTTTGCCTTCAGCTGAAAGAAAAAACCAGAGAGCAAAACCAAGTTAGATAATTATCAGCTGATATAAAAGTAACGAGTAAAGAGGCTATCACTTTGGTCCAGTTTATTTTTTTCAAAAATTTAAATGCGATGTCATCGTTATCTTTTGTCTTCTTAATGACCATTATTCGACAGTTTTCACACCTAAATAATGTTTTATTTTTCCTTATTTTGTTTCACATTCAGTATCCCATTGCGTCTTATTGGCTTTATTGCCTTACTTTGGGTGAAATGGTTAAAAAGGCCTGAAGTTCATTGGTTTTATATCTGCAGCACCGAAAATTGTGAAAGTTCGAACACATTCACTTTTGTACCACTGTGTAGAAATCATCGTATTGATGGCTCATGCAATTACCATATATATATATATATATATGTGTGTGTGTGTGTGTGTGTGTGTGTGTGTGTGTGTGTGTGTGTGAGAGAGAGAGAGAGGGGAAGAGAGAGAGGAGAAAGAGTGAGCGAAGGAGAGAGAGGCCACTTGGTAAAGGAGTTACAGCGATAGGGACAATTACAGGATACTGTTGCTGGTCCCTTGCTGGGTACAGATGCTGTTGCTCTGCTGGTGGAATAGGTTTTAGCGCCATGTCACTAAAATGGCCACACGCTTCAAAGGCATTTCAAACCGCGTGTCTTCACATCAAAAGGCAACAAGACATCATCAATAAAATCTGTTGTAAAATTGGTGAGCACGTTTTAAAAAAACCTTTGAACTGTAAGGTCATTTTAGTGATGTGACGTTAACATCTATTACATAACCAAAGCAGGTCAACACAAGTTCATTTTAAAATCCTTGACGTTAACAAAATAAATGCTTCTGGTTCTATTTCGATTCCCACCTTCATCAACGATAGTGCATATGATATACAGCGTACGCCAGTAAATATTTAACGTTCCATGTTTATACCCTCGATAACATTGTCTTCTAATCAGACCTAGGAAATGAAATGTCCGGCCGTGCTTGAAACATTAGCCGACAAAGACGGCGACAGGGGAAAATGAGATTCTTGTAACTGTCCAGGTAAGCAGGATGAATGACAGGCGACTCTAGCCATGTTTCATTGACATTACTTTCTGTAACACCAACGAAGTCCACTTGGGCAGTAATGGTCTTGGTAATCGAAGCAAATTGTGCCATGCCATTCCACGCTACTTCAGCCCGTCTAGGGACAATAATTCTTATTACAAGAAGATGTTGGAAACAATAGGCATGCTCACGATTTGGAGATTGTCTATATGTAATCCAGTAAGATTATGCTGCTGCACGGCATTCAGATTTTAATTTTTCCGTTACTCAATCTCTTAGTCAAATAATAGACTTTCCTACTAGTTTCCCTTGAGTAACATGTATACTCGAGTACTTCCTTACCTTCTCTCCTTATTCTTGTGCTTTGTAACTCAGTTTTCTTAGAAATTCGGATCACGCCATATTATCTGTCGATGTTCCCTTTAACACGTCTGTTAATGCTGTGACTAAGTAATTGGTTAAGTAATAACAAAACTAGACGTTGCAGACATATAGTGTATTGAAAAGTAAATACAACAGTAGTGTGTTACACAACTTGGGAGTTAGTGTCGTTTGACCAGCGTTCAGCCTATATCACTGTTATATTTACTAGCCCCCTACGAGGGTACATGTGGCACAAGGCCGAGATTAACGTGGGTCATCCGAGCTCGTAGGCTCGGCCCAAAAAAATCCCCGTTGAACACGCATAAACGGGTTCGGGTCGTTTTACCTTCCCGGACGAAACTCTGCCTTTCGGCACAGCCTCGTCAGGGTCCCTCTCCGCCCAAGGCAGAGAGTTCGACATGAGCTGCGAAAAGTCACAGCCTCGGTAGAACAGTCTATATCACTGTTCCCCCGAGGCTTTCTTTTCCTACTAACTTTATAGTAAGTGGAAGAGTCCACAATAGCCTCATTAAAGGGAAGACATCTCAACAGTTAGATACAAAACACCTATTTACAAGATTTATTTCTGCTACCAGCGTGCTTATTGGGATTCATTTCGCGATTTCTTTCCCGATGTCCATTAGAGTGAAATATTTAGGCTTCCCTTCTGATAATTTTCCCTGAATTTACTTCATGGGTGAAAACTGACATCGAGACTACTGCGGAATTTCATAAACACAAGATAAAACCAAGATCTTCTTGTTGATTCACACCTGTCTATTCAATCCACAGTTCTCACATTTTATCGTCTAAACCAACGTGATAGCTCTAAACACAACAGAGACCGCCTTTTCGCTCGTAATATTTGCAAACGAGTCCTCAGTTCTCTGGTAACACGTCTGTTAATGCTGTGACTAAGTAACTGGTTAAGAAATAACAAAACAAGACGTTGCAGACATATAGTGTATTGAAAAGTAAATACAACAGTAGTGTGTTACACAACTTGGGAGTTAGTGTCGATTGACCAGCGTTCAGCCTATATCACTGTTATATTTACTAGCCCCGTCTCGTCTCTTATGAGTACAGGCTGCTGTTTTTTGCATGTGGTGTTGGCTCCGCTTGTCACTTTTGCTATGTCAAGCGAAAGCTCGCTATCACTTCCAAAAATACTCGTTATATTCGATACTTCGTAAACTCCGGTACTAGTTGTAATGACTTACAGTAATATCCGCACTAGTAATACTTATTCAAGTAGTAATCGCCAAATAGTATAATGATCAGTAGAGAATCGTAGTCCGTATCGTAGCTGAGTAGAGAGATGAACGTATCGCAATTGTGGATAGACAAGAAGTGTGAACAGTGATCCTTATGCTACTTTGTATTTATTCACTTCATTTTTGCTTCCGTAATCTACTTAATAATGGAATCGCTCGTGTTGCTCACAGGCGATCTAGTTTCAAACCACAGAGTCGGAAGCGGCACTTACGCTTATACAACAGTTTTCAATCCCTCTTCTCTTTAATCAGTTTGAAGTGCTATTATCGTCTGTCGATAAAAGCAGAATGCTTTTCTCATAAATTATCTTCCAGTTCTACTCTCAAATCCTCAGGAATAACTTTGCCTGACTTTCCACTTATGTCTGCAAATACACTTAAGAAATGTTCCTATGAAATGGCTCCTGTTCTTCGACCTATTATTTTTCGTCTCAACTCGCAGAGTCTTCTTTCAGACACCAATATAGTTTTCACATCTCAAAATCAACAGCCGATGTGGTTATGGTTATTATTGAAAGTGTCTGTTAGGCTTTGGATAAGAATGGAGAAGCTATTTTCTTTTGCTATCTCGAATGCATTTGACAGGGTTTGGAATGCTGGTCTTCTTCAAACATTGCAGTATTATGGTGTTCCTGAAGGACTACTTTCTTTTCATTTAAATCAATCTTTCTTTTGAAATCGCGCAAGGAAATGTGTCTTAAACAGCAACTCTTCGATATCTTTTGCATTAATTCTAGTATCACCAATGGTTCTATTATTTGAGCAATTCTGTTTCTTATTTTCATCAACCACATTTCATATGCCATTAATTCTGTATTTAACCTGATG